AGCAGCCACGGGCAGCAGCCACCACGTGTGGAGGTGCTGGTGCTCCCATCAACAGGCGTGTGCCGGCGCTGGTGCCAGGGCACGGGAACACCGGGATGTCCCCTTGTCACAGCCTGGCACCATCCCTGAGCTGGTGGGTCCGGGCTGTCCCCATCCCCTGGGCCGGGCTCTGCCCACTCCTGCCGTGGGGAGCTGGGAGGGATGGGGCTGGAGCTGGCAGCCCCGTGGGATCAGCACAGCAGAAGGAACTGTCACTCACACTGTCCCCAGGCGTCCTGTTTGGCCACGAGAACTGCGGGTACACACACCCGGGCTCACTGCAGCCAGCAGAGCTCGGTAGTGACACACACGTGTGTGTGCACACGTGTGCACAGACACACACACTCATGGAGTCGTGTATCTGCAGCCACATCTCTGTGTGTGCACACCAGGACACGTGTGCAGAGCCACTGCAGGCAGCTGCAGGCACACACGGGTACCTGCTGACACACCCGGGGCCGGCGTGCTCACCAGTACCTCTCAGACTGCACACACAGGGCTGTGCACGCCTGGAGGGGCATCAGCACAAGCAGGAACTGTGCACACGTGCACACCAGCAGGCCTGTGCACCCCTGCACGTGGAGCCGCGCACACAGACACACTCGTACATGCAGAGTCTGCACCAACACACACACACCCACACGCATGAGACCTCCTTGCACACGCAGAGTCTTCACACACCAACACACACGTGTGCACACAAAGCTGTGCACACCAAGACATGCGTGCACAGTGCCGTGCACAGCAGCACACGTGTGCACAGAGCTGTGCACACAGCACATGATTGCACAAGCAGCCCTTGTACACCAGCACATCCGTGTGCGCAGCGCACAGACACACGGAGCTGGGCACACCAGCACAGGGACACACGGAGCTGTGCACACCAGCACAGGGACACACAGAGCTGTGCACACCAGCACACAGACACACGGAGCTGTGCACACCAGCACAGGGACACACAGAGCTGTGCACACCAGCACAGGGACACACGGAGCTGTGCACACCAGCACAGGGACACACAGAGCTGTGCACACCAGCACACAGACACACGGAGCTGTGCACACCAGCACACAGACACACGGAGCTGTGCACACCAGCACACAGACACACAGAGCTGGGCACACCAGCACAGGGACACACGGAGCTGTGCACACCAGAAGACACACGCTCACAGAGCCGTGCACTCTGACACACCTGTGTGCACACAGACCCTCACACCCCTGTGCCCCAGGGCCATGCCCCCCCTCACACCCAGCGTAGGGGACGCAGCCCAAGCCCCCCCACTTCCCCACTCCCCATCTGCCCCCATCCCCACGGGACCCTCCTCCTGGGGGCCTCCATCCCTGTGGGGCCCGACTCTGTTTGGGGGACCCCGTCCCAGCGGCAGCCGGG